GAGTATACAGGTAAAATTTTGTAAAAATTGCAGTTACCGTTTTAATTCTGTGGGTGTTCCATGAGGTGGAACACTGCACTGCCAGAGCTTTTAAAAGTGCGACTAAGCGAGCATTGCAGTGAAGCACGAAAATGAGTAGAAGTGTTTGTATAAGAATGAAAAAACTCTGTATTATGGCTGTATACATGGTTTCCTGGATATACACAATATTCTTGAATATATACGGATAAATGAGATAAATATCTATATACACAAGTCGTATATACAAAAATATTTACAAATTTTCGGAAAGAGTTAGACCTCTCCGCGCCATTTATGGAAAATTAATAATAAAAAAATTAACTACGATTAATGTTAACAATAAAGAAAAATAAGCCTATAATATATACATACACGAAAATTATCTACACAATTATTGAAAATAAATGGAAATGAGACTAAAATGCGACAGCAAAAAATTCGCGCAGGTCTAAGTAAAGATGAGTCAAGCTACTAATAAAATTCCCTCCTAAAACCTACTGCCAAAAAATTCGAGATGCCAATATTAGGGCTTTCATAACACAAAACACACCTCACCCCTCAATACTGCTTTGTTTGAATTCACCCCCCCCCTTAAACAACGGAAACAGAAAACGTAAACAACGGATGTTCTCTCCTAAGCACAGATGTTCTGATTCGTAACAGCATAAGATCGCTAAAGGTGCAGTATTCAGGCTACTGGAACACCTGGTTTCATTCAATGATTCTGCATATGGTTTTTGTATGAAAGATTTAAAAAAATATAGAACAAATAATTTGGAGTGCAGCCAGCAAAATTATGCCTAATTTTTTTTCCAAATAAAATTTTTTATATCATTAAAAAAATAGAGAAAATTACTTGAAAAAAAGTGGATTTTAATAACACATAATAAATGAAAATTCTGTGTATCCTTGTGATACGCTGCTATTTACTGTTTAAAAAGAAAAGTTCAAAGTATATGATAAAGGTTTTTTTATCTATTTACGGTTGAATTTAAAGGTTTCAGAAGCGATTCAATTTGGGTGTTCCATGTAGTGGAACACTGAGCCGCAAAGGGTTAACACGAAGATTGGTCTTTTGACATTACGTATGTAGTGAGCGAAATGCATTTACTACTATTACGTTTTAGTATATTACCAGGAACTATGTTCTGACCTTAAAGGCATACATGAACTGACTGAAAAGCATGCGTGTGGCAGGGTAGCAGGAAGGCTCTCTACGCTTCTTGGCTAGAAACCACTTCTTAAATACCTACACAGTTCGCAAACTCATTAACATAAAAATTGTACCCGCTCTTATCCTCTCCAGAAATGGAAAATAAGAGAAGATAGCAAAGTTTAAAATAAAATAAAGGTTTGTAAAACTTAAAATCCTTATAGCTGTTTGTTTATGTCAAGGTACTTGCATATTAGCACAATCACCGTAGTAGAAGTCTTTTTTTTTTTACTTGCGTTTGTTTTGTTATATTCCAAGTTCCAATGGTTTTTATTAATAAATTGGGATATTTTTTGTATTAAGGTGAGTTATAAACTTGAACTGTATTGTGATTTGCTGACAGTGAAAGAAATCGTGATAAAATTTCTGCAGAATTGCTGCACTCTGCTACAAAATCATGGAAAGGAACAATTTAGTAGCTTGTACAAAGGGAACAAAAAGCCTTTTATAAGTAGATTTGTTGATTGATATGTTGGATAAATAGTTAATTAAAATATTTAAAAACTCAATGGCGCAGCAACCCTTAGTGAGCCATGGCTTGCACTACCCTGATATCTGCTTTCTTGACAGTGGGCCCCTGGCTGCATGAGCGTATACCCTGGGCAAGTGGTCAGTTTTTTGCAAGACCCCTGGTGTTTAGTCCCCAAGCAAACTTGGTATTCATTTTATTGACCCACTGTAGGAATGAAAGGCTGAGTCAACTTTACCTAGCCCGGGGATCGAACCCCAAAGTTGTTCTGCTGCACAACGAACTAGCTGCTCTGCCACTGGGTACCAATTTGGTAGTGCTGATATGTTTTAGTAAAACTCCTTGAAGTTCAGTAGATGATCATTGTTTTAATGATATGGATAATTTACTAGTAAAGTACACCACACAAAAAGAAATGAGACAGTTCTATATCTCCCTTTCTACTGGGCCATTTGACAAAATTCAGCTTAAGTTTTTCATATCTCAAAAGTGTGACTTTGAAAAGTGACTCATGAAAAGCGCGAACATTGAAATCAATTGAAATTTCTCTTCCACAAAAGTTCTTCCTCCTGACATAGTGGCATTGAAGTTGATTAAGCTCCTCTTCTATTATGTTAATTTTCCATTAAATTTCTTTAATTTTTTAAGTTGGGATATTGCTTGTTTGAAAAGTTATGGTTTTAAACATTTTTTAAATTTGTAATTGCATTTATAGGCTTATTTGAAATTTATTAATTATGAATTTCAATTTGTGGTCTTTGTAAAATATTAGTTCTAAATTTCTTACTTAATGTCTTTACTGATAACTTTTTTTTTTTTATATATGTTGATACATTTTTTGCTTTAAAAATGATTGAATTATGTTGTTCTTATCTTCTTGTTTTTATGCCTTTAGTTAATCCGCATGCAATATATGTAGACTTATCAACAATTTAAAAGTTGCTTAAGTAAGGCTAAGCCTAATTTTTTGTTTACTAAAGCAGCCATATTTGTTTACATTTGAAGCTTAGCAGAATAGTGAATTAAGTCTTTCTGCACCTTCAGTGTCTTTTTCCAGAGTGGGACCAAAAAGAAACTTTTAATTTTGTGTACTGAAAAATCAGCCTGCTGGTCGAATTACTTGTTTTTTTGCATAGAAACTGTAATTTTAATTGTAAGAATTGTTTTTTAATTGTTTTACCATATTTGGTGGTTTATGTCTTTCAATTTTAATGAAAATATTTTGAGTTTTTATGTCTTTTTGCCTTGCTGCAAAGTGACAATTGAATAATTTGAATGAAAAATATATCTATCTCTCATGAAGTAAGTTTAAATGAAATGCAGGAAAAAATTTGTGTAATTTAATATTCCGTACAGGAAAGTCGTGGTGTGCAAATCAGTTTTTTTTTAATAATTGTTAATGCATTTATTTATTGTTTAACCCATTAACCGCTGAAACTACAAGCAATGATTCTTTTCTCATGAAAATAATAACGAATATTAAATTAAGCATTTATAACATAAATTTACATTGAAAATTTAAAAAATGCTCTTACCTGTGGAAAAAGCGAGTGTTGCGTTTGCGCAACGTCAGCGGAATAAGAATACGCATGTTTGCTGAGTAGGATTGTACTCATGTGATGTTTCATTTGAGTGGAGCGCAGGATTACTTCTTAGCTGTATAACGTTTTATAAATCTACAAATCACTTTACTTGTAATTAATTTAATATTAAAATATACATCATATTTCTTTTACTAATACAGATTATTTCAATTGAAAGATTCAAGCATGAAAAGCTTCATTACGATCATGATGTAAAGCTACATTACATACTTTGCATCTATAAACAGTCTGGCTATGGCACTCTTTACAACGAAGTCTTTTGTTATCAACAGACTTTACGATAAAATATCTACCATCTCCATGCAATGGTTTTTGAATGCTGAATTTATTACGTCTTCCTGTTGATGATCTATTTCTGTCTAATTCAATAGGAGTTTGCAAAAGGAATAATGCAATCTCGCGTCTGAAATCTAAAAGAGACTTTATATATATTACTTTTATAGTAGTGATATTTAGTAAGTTTAGGTACGGTCTCACCTTATATAATTTATCAGTATTGTCAATTTGACTATTTTCAAATGCAAATTCTTCATATTCCTGTACTGAAAAACATGATATCAATTCTCGTACAACAGGAACAGAAATGTCCTTATCAAAAGACCAATACATTTTTTTCTTGAGGTAAAGAATGATATCCCGTAAGCAATAATATTCCAATAAATCTTCTCATGTAGGCTTCAGATGCAATAAATTCTGGGCAATTTTTTTGCTAAGCGTATATATTTGTTTGTTCAACGAGAAGAGAGTAAATGTCTAAACCAAAAAGAAAATCGAAAATCTGTGCACTAGTTTTATCTTGTATTTATGTCTTTTATAGTTTCTCTTTCTATCTCTTTCTTTATGTTCTTCCTGAGACATAACTGACAGTTCCTCTTTTATCCACTTCAAGTTTTCAGTCTTCTGCTTTTTAAACTTTTTAGTATGACTACAACTGCTTTTAGAAGGCTGAAACTTACTTCTTACGGGAATTTCAACTTCCCCAACAGTATCATTTGGTAAAATATCATTATTTAAAACATTGTCATTCTTCTTCATCACTAGCTTCTGCAGTTTCTGGGGAAACAACAACAATATCAGTTTCATTCTGGTCATTATTAACATTATCATCATCTGTTTCTTCTTTAAAAAAATCTTTGAAGAGCTTCTTCTAACGTAAGATACCTTGTTCTAGGGATTTTTAAAGCAGGCAATACATGAACCAGAACATCGAAAATAATGAGTGAAAAAGGAGATTGATTTCCCGTTTCCTGCTGACGTTGCGTCAGCGCAACACCTGTTTTCCCTTCTTTCCCAACACAAATATAAACATCTGATTGATGTAATATTTTGATAAACGGTGACCTTGACTAAAAATAGATCACTCATAAAGACGGCGATCCTTTTGTTAAAGTAATTTCAGCAAAAATACTCGGTTGAAAATTTTGCTTAAATTGTGCCTTAAGTATGAGATTAATTATTATAAACAAAATTATTGTTAAAGGCAAATATTTTTTACAGAAATAATCTTCATAATATTCCCTATACAAAATCATCAGCTGGTATTAAATATCTTAGGTAGTTATATTTATATACGTATTTATTTTGACCGTTGCGTCAACGCAATACCAGCGGCTAATGGGTTAACTTCAGTTACAGAATAAAATGATATTATTAGTTTGGAAATTTGCATAATTTCTCAATTTTTCATTAATAGCCTCCTTTTCAAGCTGAAAATAGAAAAAAAACAATTGAAAAGGTAAGAATCATATTTTTTTGTTCCCCCAGGGAATATAAAGATATGCAGAATATATTGCAGTAAATTAAAATTTATAATATCTTTTGCTTCATAAGTAATGTTTCCCAAAATAAATATAGATAAACAATAGTTAAGAAGAGTTCTCTTTCTGATTTTTAAAATTCAGATATAAGCTTGTTTATAGTGAAATGATGAGGATAAATCATTGCCCCCCCCTTTTTTTTGTTTGTTTGGTTTAATATGTTTTCTGTAGTTGTGTTACTAAAAACATGAATGTTGTAATAAACACATTTCAGATTTCACTTCTATTTCATTTCATTTTAATGAAAAATATATTACTAGTGATATGAAGTTCTGTATTGTTCATATTGTGCAGTTTCAACGAAACAGTAATTGTATTTTTTCATAAAATTTGCAAATTTGTTATTGTTTTTATTCATTATTCTGATATTTTCAGATTTTGAAGCATAAGCTGAATTTTCCTCACTATGTCACATCTGATTCCAGAGATTTAATCAGAAAGGTAAAATGTATTTTTCATTTTATTTTTCGAGGAGTAATTAAGTATATGCTTAAAAGAAATATAAAAATGTTGCATTCTAAAACAGACAAATAAGTTATGAAATCTTAGTTTCTTTAAGATTTGCTGCCAAAATTCCTTATAATGTTTAAAAATAAGTTTCACATATAAGACATATCTGCCTTATTTTGTGATAATCATATTGTCAACCGTGCATGGATTCGTAATAAATTGAATGCACATAGAATTGTTGATCGCTTGATAAAATTTATTTTACCAAAACAAACAATTCACGGTTCTGGAACGCAAAAATACTCGTATAGCTTTTCCCAGTATCACAGAATACAATAAGTAGTTCATACTAAGAACGTTAAACACATTACAATGCTAAGCAACTAAACTGCACACATCACAGTGCAAAGCAACACATTTAAAGAGCAAAGCTAACACTGCTATTTCAACCCTCCAAGTTCATCTCTGAACTAATAACGACTACTGACAGACAGCATGTGTTCTCTATGATCTTTTGTAATTTTCAGCCGGCCGCTGAGAAATCTGTAATAAATTCCATTTCTCGAAATTACTGGAAGCTGTATACAGTTAAGGTTATATCTAAGGGCTGGATACAGTTGCATAATCTGATTAAGTCCAGTTATTCATTTACATTTCCCATTACAGTTATGCAAGAATCGGATCATAATGCCCCCAAGATTGGCGATTTCTCCCCAAATTTGGTGAAAAAAATTAGTTGCCAAAACCAACTCCAGCTTTCACCAATTAATTGAGATAGCCATTTACTCAATGTCAAATAGACTTGCCCTTTTATTTTTACTTTTCGGCAAGCTTTGCTTCTTTAGATTTTCTTGTTACAGTTTTAAACAAAAAAGAAATTTTTACATAATTTCACTGAAATTATTAAACTGTACAAAATTTGTTGCAGTACAATTTCTCTAATTCCATTAAAATTATTTGTAAAATCTTTTTGTATTTTAAAATCTAAAATTAAATGTGATACAAATTTGCTTGGTGAATAAATAAACAGAATTAAGTGTAATTTTATTTTTTCAGATGTAAACATAATTACTTTGAGCATGTCTGCTAATTACATTTGTTTTATAAAATATTTCATTTTAAAACTTCTCTTAATATGTAGTTGAGAAACAGTAAATTCTTGTTAATTTTAGAAAAGTCTGCTTTTCATGTTTTTTTTCCCCTCATCATTTTTACGTGAAATTATTGTCATGGCATAGAACTCTACTCTAATGTAATTCTTTCCAAAGCAGTGCATCGTGAGGAGTAGTTCTTCAGAAAGCAAAACCATTTCAAATATCACTGCTTGGAGTATTCTTAATTTTTCGAATTGTATTGTTATTCAATCAGCTAATAATCAATCAGAACACTTCGAGTCATTTTCCTTTAATTGGCAATCCTGGTATTTATTACCTTTGTTAAAAGAAATAATGTTAAAAATACAGAAATATTTCTTAAAGTTTATGAAAGATGAGGTGTTTTTAGGAAATATGCAAACTGTAATTATTGCAAAAAATTTAGCATACTTTATTGAATATTCAGTCCTTATTTAATTTTCCTTAATCTTTATATTAGTTATGTGTGAAATTGAAATAGTTTTAAACATATGAAGCATTAAATTTTACATATCTTCTGTTGAGCCAAATTTATACAGTTGAGATTTTACACAAATTTCTGTTTCGTTCTTTATTTAAGTATTATATGTTTGGTAACTTATTGTTAGAAATTTATCAGAATTAAAATTACTGATAGCTGGACCAGTGCAGGTAAATACAATTATTTTACTTTTTTAAAATAAATGCAGTCGATTCCGGTTAATTGGACCACATCGGGAAGCGATCATTTTGGTCCTAATACCTGGTACGATTACACAAACATTTCCTGTTGTAAGACGGGACATGCTATATGTAGCAAACAGTAAATGTACATGTAAATCGTACTAAAATGTAATTATGAACTTTATGGTGCGGTACACACGTATGGCGAACATACAAGTACAAACAAGAAATACAGTCGAACTTTTTTTCATTTAGAAAATTAATTTAGAAATAAATTCTCAGAAACAATCTCCACGATACTCAACATGCAAAGCACAATAAAAACAATTTCTTACCAAGTACTAGTCAACATTTGAAGAACTTATCCAATGTGATCTGATGCGTTCTCTTGATGGATTGCACGTGAATGAAATCGTCACAAACATCTAACACAGCAATGGGACTGCCTTCATTCCCTCCTGCATGAAATACCGACACAAAGTTTCAATGCATTTCCTCGCATCCTGTGTTGTCACTTGCTCTAACTTATTAATGATATCATCATCATCACTTTCTTGGTCTTCCGATGCTGTTGTGTGTTTTGCTGCAACGATTGCAGCGTCGTAATCTTCATTTTCATCGTAGCATTGAAGCTCGCTGTCAACGGATAAAAATTCTTCACAATTTTGTACCTGTTGAAGTTCTACATGTAAATCATCATTTTCACTTTCAATGAGCATGTCCACATCCATCTCCAAAACCAAGTGCTTTAAGGCTTCGCTGGCTTTTGACAATGAGGTCAGCAAACCTCATCGTCCAGCAAACCTCATCGTCAAAATAGAAATAATAAAAAGAAAAAGAAAAAAAAAAAAAAAAAATAGAAATCGTGTTAAGTTTTATTTAAATTTAAAATATTTTGAGACGAAATACGAATAAAATAAGTATGAATGGGAAATGAATGATCCGTACCAAAAAGACCAAGCCCCCCTCATTAACATAAAAAACCACAAATTTCATGTGCCAGATGAAAAGAAACTAAATAACGCTGGACATATTCCAGTGAAATTTAAACTTGCAATGTGGGTCTATGCATGTACCAAAAAGACAAAACATGCTTTGAACAGTGTCACAAAAAATATTTGTTCTTTGTGAAATAAAAAAAAAAAAAAAACACTGAGTCTCTTTTTTTTTTTTTTTTTTTTTTTTTTAAATCCTTATTTTACTGAGTTTTTTTAATCCATGTAGCCAGACGTCCTTATTATGTAGGTACTTATACTTTCACTGCCGTAGAAAAATTGCATAAATGTTTATTTTTTAATTTTTCTGACGATTTAGTTTGTAAAATAATGTAAAAATATATCTATATTATGCAATTCTAACGTGCATTTTTTTTTTTTTTTTTTTTTTAATTCGTAAATTTTGTCATTTATTAGAAACACGCATGGAAAAAGGTAAGTTTCAAAGTCCTAGATGCGCGGTGGTTTCACAGTGCGACCACCACCCACAAAACAACGGGCAAGAGTAGATTTTTTTAAATTCATATGTTATTTGTCTCTAGGATAATAATATTCAATTTCTAGAATTTTTAGTTAAAAAAATTATAAAAATAATATCACGCGCATCAAAGGGTTAAGGCAGCGAGGCTTAGTGCTTTTTCCTATAACCAACAGCTTCCTCTTGTCCGTTCCTGACATGTTTGAGCAACACGAAACAGTTACGCGATCCATCACTTTTTTGGAGCCAGAGAGTGCAACATGTTTGTAACTTAACGAGTCATCCTGTGTAGCACGATAGTACAGCCCAGTCTCATCTGCATTGTAGATGTCATGTGCTGAAAATTTTTCCAGAAGCTCGGGTAGTATTGTTGATTTCCATTCTTCAGCATTTGCACTATCAGCACTTTCTTTCTCTCTATGTGTTTTCTTGAATTTTATGTCATGTCTAGATTTCCATCGAGACAACCAACTGTCCATAGCTTTGAAGTCATCGTGGCCCAGCTTTTTAGTGTGTCCTTCCTTCTGCTTTGCATTTTAACATTGGGCCACTTACTCGCCCAGATCATCCAGTAACAATGGCAAACCATTCATTACCTTTTTCCGGCACACTACCTTTTAAAGTTGGAGTTTTGATTTAAAAAAAAAAAAAAAAAAAGGTAGGCCTAGAGGAGTACACAAGTAAAATTTAGTTAAGATAGCACTTAACGTTTTAATTCTGTGGGTGTGCCCAAAGTAGGCACACTGATTGGAATAGAGCTTCGAAAAGGGTGCTGAAACGAGCATTGTTGTCAATGAACTGACCGATGAGATGTGGAGAAACAAAAACTACAGACTCTCAATTGTCCTAGATTATCGATGAGCCTGGTCTGGGCACACCTAGGGTTCACCGTTTGATTTCAGGCAAGATTTCAAAGTAAAAATTACAGCCAAAAAAATAACATAGAAATTTCTTTTCAAACAATTCTTTTTATACCCTAAAAAAAATCTGGAAGATTTCTTTGAAAAATGAGGGTCTTAAAAAAACTAAACATGGCTAAAATATATGGACTGGTTTTTGTTGATCTGCCATCTGCTATAAATAAGGAAGGTTCAGAGTAACCTATAAATCCTCTTTCATTCAATTTTTCTGTGCATACAGAAGGAAATTTTTAGGTGTGTCCAGACCGGACACGCTGTGCCACAAAGAGTTAACAGCCTCATCGACATCTGGGTCCTTGCCCTCACACTTCCGTTTTTTGGAAGTTCCTCCTCGTCCTCCACATTGTGCCCATTCTTCTCACAGCTCATTCTCTTGTTTTATCAAGAGCGAAATTGTAGTCTTTGCCAATCCGGTTATTTCCACCATTCGACGCTGACTAGTGTTTCGTGGTTGTTGCTTGATCTTGTCCAGGAAACCAAGTTTTTCAGCTAACATCAAGTCCCGTCGTGGCATTTTGGCAGGGGAGACAAGACACGCATGCAGTTCACTAAAGTTGTCTGAAGAAACCTTGGTGTTTCAGGTTCAAGATGTTGAGGTCAAGAGGGAGATAAAGTGCCTGCCATTTAAAACTTTAGCACTAAAATCATCCCCAAAATGTGATAAAATGATAGCTTTCTCGTGTAAACTTTAAACATGATTGACAGGCAAGAATTCCGTTCAGGTGGAGCCGGACACTTTCCTCAAAACTCGGAGGCACAGGTGAAAGAAAATGGTGCACATGTTCACCTCCCACCGGTTTTG